TGCTTCTGATAGAGCACAGTGAAACCACTTGACCTAGTCCTGAAGAAGAGGCTAAGTAGTTGGCTTTGTAATAGGTTAGATGTATTCCAGTACAGAGCCATCTTAACACCTATGGAGTTAGGGGTCACAGAACCACACCTATCTGCTGCTTTGTATCAGACTTAGCTCTTTCTTACTTATGCCAGTTTTACATTTAGCCTTAACCTATTTTTTTCCCTTCTTAACAGGTTGCTTGCACACATTTAGATGTGGATTTAGTCTGTGTTACTGTAACAGAGAAACTGCCATTTTACTTTAAAAGACCACCAATTAATGTGGTAAGTGTTATAATTTCCAGATATTTGAGACTGTAGAAACTTACAGAATTAAATACTATCAAATTGGAAAAAGGCAAAAGAAACCAGTGTTCTTCAAGGGAAGAAAAAGTGGGAAAGACTGGGGAAGTAGCTCAGTGATCTAAGCGCCTGCCTGACAAGTGCAAGGGCCTGGGTTCGATCCCCGGTATGGCATGCCTTGTCTGCCCCAAACTGAGCCGGCCAACAAAACCGGGTATGGTGGTACACGCCTGTAATTCCAGTGTTGGGGAGGCTGAGACAGGAGGATCATTATAAGTTTAAGCTGCGTAGCAAGACCCTATACCAAATAAGCAAATAAATAAAGGATTAAAAAAGAAAAGTGGGACAACATGGATTTATTTATTGTAAGCTGACTAGGGAGAGAAAGAAAACTTAACATAAAAAGTATCAGAGCTGATCCCAGTGGTGGTGGCTCTAGTTGGGATGCCAAGGGTCACTTGAACCAGGGGGTTGAGGCCATACTGTGCGGGATAGTGAGACTCCACCTGGACGGACAAAGTATTAGTTCATCATTGAGTTTTGTTTTTTTTTTTTAAGCTTTAGAAGTTAAAACTTGTGGAGGCTATTTCTTAAGAAAGTAATTATTAATGATGGGTATGTACAGCCCCAATATTCAAGGGATAGACCAGTCAAAAAAGATGGAAAAGACAGAAAAATACAGAGGATCCTTGAGCTAAGAGCAGGCTGCGGGGAGAGAAAGGAGCAGGACATAGAATCACTGGGGCATGGTCTGTGTAAAATCATAACCTGCTCCGAAGCCTGTTGGCTCACACGAAAGAGCAGGGCACTTCAGTAACTTAACCGAGTGGCCGTGTGGTCGGGGGCGTTTTTGTTCCACTTGCTGTGGGAATTTCCTCATTATGTTTTCACATAGTTCTCTCTTGCTTTCCCATTGCTTTTATCTTTCCTGTTGCCTTCCAGGCCTCAGTCCCCTTCCGTTTCCATTATAAAGTCCGTGATATTTCTCACTAGTAACTACTTTTGGTAGCTCTAAGTTTAGTACAGCTGTTAACTATTTGCTTTGCCAGCTGGGTCCTAAGAAAGCTAGAAAGAATAGTTTCCAAAACTCAAGTCTCCTTCTCAAAAACTACTATGCAAGAAAAAGATTAAGCAAATATAGTCCAAATTAGCTAATCCTATGAGAATTAGAATGTTAGGAGTTTTTTTCAAGGTGAACAATTCCCTTATTCTTTGTCTTTATAGACTTATAACTGCCTCAGTGTTTGTTGCACTTTTCTGCTAGGGAATTGGTATAATGCTCAGTATTAGGGGGAGAATACGAATGTATTTCATGTGGAAAATGTAAATTAACTCATGTTCTACCCCTAAAAATATGCTACAAAATTGTACTTGAAAAGTACCAAAAACGGATAGTTATATAATCAAGGAGAAAACTATTACTAAATAGCTCTGTTCCAGTAAACATTAAGACCACTACTGAGCATGTAACAATACTGTGTTGACCAAACTCAAGTCATTGCTTTCCCATGCTAGTGCCAGTCCTGAATGAAGACGCACCCTAACCCCTGAACTGTCACCTGTTCAGGTCGAAGGTCTCTGTGATACAGCAGCTCCCTTATCAACTGGGGCAGATGACGCCTAGTTCGAAGTCGCTTCCTCTGTACTCACAGTGTCAGGACAGTTCTGATTAGTTGCCTGTCACATAAACTTGTACCATGTCCTCAGGTACAGTGCTAAATGCCACAGTCTCCCAAATGAGCCAAGTTTACGGCCATTTTGCTGGCCTCACGTACTTCTCTCTGGAAGTAGCCGTCTCTATGTTTAGAAGTCTGCTTTCACCAGCTCAGTTGCCAGCCTAGGAGCTATGTAAAAAGAATCCTTAAAGTTAGTGCAGCTACACTGAAAATTGTTATTAAACTTAAGACTTTATCACCTTTTTCTTCACTTTAGTGAACTAGGAAGGGCACTTGCCATGTGGCTTTGGCTGAATAGTCTCACTATGCAAGACACTGTACAATACTGTGTTCTTAGAGGGAGGTGATGGTGGCATGTGACACTCAGGCCACGTCCACGGGAGAGATAGCAGCGCGCAGCACAGGACTGCTCACAGCCCACCACGGTGGTGAGCTCCCCAGTGCGTGCTCTGGTGAGGGGCTTTGACTGGGTTTCTTAGAAGCATGACTGAAGGTTAAACTGGGCTGTTGTAAACTTTCAAGTAGCACTGCTACGCTGTGGGTCATTTTACTTATCCCAGGAAATATCTTGCGTTTGAGTCTTTCCTCCAGTTTGCGGATTGCATCAGTATATGTCTCACTCAGCTCATCGGAGTACAGCATGGGGAACCTTGGCCACATAGTCATCTGTGTGGTGTGAGAAGCGTATGCAGGGAGGAAGGTATGGGCACTAGGACAGCATGCAGAGGACAGAGGCAACCGTGAGAGAGGTGCCGGGACACTCTGCCCCGATTCCATCTGAAAATATGGCTGCCTTTGTGTGATTAGTATTTCTGGCGTAATTCCCACATTTTTTAACTTAAGAATTCTGAAAAGCCAAAAATTTGACAAGTGAAAAGAATATGCAGTATTTAACACAGTGTCTTCTTTTAAAAAATAACTGGTGTGAACATTTTACATATGTTTAATAAAAGCCAGATGACATAATAGAAAAAAGGTTGCACAAGATTATTTTGAGTCATAATGTTATGGATTGTGTTTCGATGTCCCACCCAAAGCCTCAGGGTCGTAGGTTGGGCTGAATCTAGCATGTATGATTGATTCACAGTGCAATGCTAGGATTAAGGGTGCTAAGATTTTTTCCCCCCCAGAACTGGGGATTGAACTCAGCCCCTTGTGTTTGCTAGGCAAGCGCTTACTCTACTGAGCTACCTCCCCAGCCCCAGGGAATCTTGGGCCTCAATCTCAGCTACCTTCCTGGCTGAGATTAAGGAAGGGTGAACACTAAATCAGTCCACTCATTGGTTTGGCACCAACCTAGTCCCAGTAGCCTGGATATGAGATGAGGGACAGAAAGAGGCTTACTGTGTCCCTTGCTGGCTTTGCTACCTTCTGCCCACCATGAATTGTTTCCCCCTTTGCGATGCCCCTGCGCCCGGCCACCCTGCCCTGGAGCCAGATCATGATGGGCTGAAACCTCTTAAAACTGAGCTCCATAAACCTTCCCTTCTTAACTTTGGGTGTCAGGTGTTTTGCCTTAGCAAGGAGAAAATGTAACTAAGCCTGTCACCATCTAGCATAGGCATGGAGCACAGTGTGAGTTGTCCAGGAAGCGGAAAAGTCCCTGTGGTTATTCACTTATTTTTACTTAAGAAAGAAAGCTGGAAACATACAGGTACCTAACTTTTTGTTTAGGGCAATTAATAGTTATCGAATAAGTGCATATGTTTATTTGCAGTATAATATTTAATATTGCGATGGGGCTGTTGAAAACGTATTTCCTATGAAGGCATAGAACCTGCGGTGAGTGTGGGTTCAGTGTTAAGTCCTTTTTTTTTGCGGAACTGGGGATTGAACTCAGGTCCTTGTGCTTGCCAAGCAAGTGCTTAGTCTACTGAGCGATCTCCCCAGCCCTCAGTGTTAAGTCTTGATCTTTACATGCTCCCATGGCCTAGAGAATGCATTTGTGTTTGGCCATGAAAAGTTAGTAGGTTAACTTGATGAGGATCACTTTATTAGGTTCACGAAAAAGCAGCACAAATCCTAGTTTGGTTAAGCTTTCTATTCTCTTTATTTTGTTGTGAAAAGCAGGACTATTACTGTAGTTAATTTATTAGACTTTTACCTCCAGGCCAGAAGCCACACAAGAATTACAGACTCGGAAGGCTGAGACTGGAGAGCCCAGAAGCTGGGCAAGCAGTGCTTGAACCAAAGCACTCCATTTTTATACTTGACAGGATACAACTCTTTTGTTATCTTCACCTCATGCTTAGAGCCCCATAACTTCAGTTATAAAACTTGCACTAAAATCTATAAACCTCTTCTGGGGTCTTACACGATTTGTGTGATAATTGCAGATCTCATCTGTGATAGGTGTGTTTTAAAAATTGGGTTAAAGTATACTTACTGGATAATCAGTTGATTTTGTACTCTGGCGTTCTATAGTTTACACATCTTCACACACACTGTGGCCCAGTCTCCGCGGTGCAGTGTTGTAAATATCCCTGTGGAGGGAATGGCTCTGACTCTGGGGACAGGTGTAGCTCACAGTTAAGCGGCTTTCAGAGAGGTGGCTAAGGGTTTGTCTTTGTGCCTTGATTCAAGTCTACTGTCATTCCTTTCTGGGAAATGCTATTTAAAACTTTATAGCAGAGTGCTTTGTTAAGCACAGAATGATTTCATATTTTAAAGTATGAACTTTATGAATACATGTTTTGAGAAGAACTTATTTAAAGTGGCATACACCCTTGCCTCTGTATTTTTCACTTCATTCAATGTGAGTGCCTTCAAGTTTGAGATGTTTTAGTGATCATTTATTTTACACTCTTTCTGAAGTTTTCCCCTTAACACTTCTTTTAACCATAGGCCGTTTCCATTTTTATGATCTAGTTGGTCCCTACTGAGAAATGACTAGTATGTAGTGTCATAAACAATGGAACAGTTCCAGGAATCATGCCGTATATTCTTGATTTGGGCAGGAATGCTCTATAAACTTTAGCACATGCTGTAACCCTGAGTGGGTGAAGCACTTTGCCTACCCAGTGCTTGCTTAGTGCTGGCAGACAGGGCCGGTACGCTTTTAAAAAAAGAAAGAAAAACACCAGAAACAAAGTTTAAAAACTGGTTGAAATATTTTCACTCATGTCATAGACAAAGGGCGTTATAAGGAGCTCCTAGAAGTTAATAGTTTAGGGACTGGGGATATAGCTCAGTGGCATAGCACCTACCTGGCAAGTGTGAGTTCATGAGTACCTACCCTCCCCCTCCCATAAAAGGAAAAGAAAGAGAAATTAATAATTTTAAGAGAAAAAAGGTAAACAATATAAAAATAAATTTAAAAAATTAAAAAGCCATTTCATATAAAACACAAATTATCCTTAAACATGAAAGAATTTTTAAATTCATAAGAGAAACTCATGTTAAAATCATTGTCAGAGGCTTAGTGGCATAAATGCCTGCCTGGCAGGTGGAAGGTCCTGAGTTCAGTCCCTAGTACCAAAGAAAAAAAAAAGAAAAGAAAATCACTGTCAGATCGTTACACTCCGTTGGAAGACTATGAGAAACCAGCTATTCTGCTATTTTGGATACAACAGTGTAAATTGGAACAATTCTTGCAGAGATTGACACTTTGACAGCTATTAAAATTACAAATACATTTACCCTCTGACCTACAATATGAGTTTGTGGGTGTACCATAATGAACTACTACAAACTAAACAGCTTAAAATTACAGAAATTTATTCTCTCACCAGCCTGGAACTTACAAATCTGAAATCAGTGTTATCAACAGGGTCCCACTCTCTGACACCTGAAGGGCAGCCCTTTCATACCTAACCATCTGCTGATTGATCAGCATTCTTTGTCAACCCATAGCTCACAGTCACTTTATCTCCGGTCTCTGTCTTTGTCTTGGTAGTGTCTTCTCCCTGTGGGTCTCTGTGTCTTTATATGAGATCTTATAAGGACCCGAGCTGTGTTGGATTAGGAACCTACCCTCTTCCAGTGTGACCTCATCTTAATCACACCTATAGGGACCACGTTTCCAAATAAGATACACTTTGAAGTACTGAGGGTGAGGAATGCAAAATATCGTATATGCAAGGGGACACAACTCAGCTCAGAACATCCACTTTAGCATCTATTCCATAGATGTATTAAAACAAGCCAAGTCTTCAGCTAATGCTGGTTGAATACTATACAGGCTGTTCCTTTACAATGTGGTATTATGTGGCTATAAGAGAAAATATGAGTTGATGTGAAAAAGTTTAAAGTCAGGACAAGAATGTAGCAGGTTACCATCTGAATAAGGAAAGGGAAAAATAATGTATAGTCGTACTTATCTATATTTGCATGAAGAAAATCTGGAAGAAGACATAAATTCCTAAAAGCAGTTATAGGTGATAAGGATAGTAGAGAGAGGAACAGAGATGCGACTTAGACTCTTTATTGTTTTCGTGTGTTGCTCTGATGGGTGAGTCATATGAACAGCTTACCTGTCTTAGATAGTGACGCACTGAGTTGTTATCCTTTTGAATTTAATTAAAGTTCTCTCTTTTTTTTTTTTTTTAATTAGCAGGGACTCTGTTTATTGGCCAAGTAGTCAACTCCCTATTTTCTTCTTTCTGTAAACTTTTGCTTAAGTTTTTAATACATGGAGTTTTATTACCAGAATCTCTTGACTCAAAAATCATAAACTTGCCCTTAGGAAGATCTTTATGACTATTATTTCTCATTAGTAAAGAAATCCGATTCTCTCCCTATTCTAGAACCTTTGGTCAAACATAGGAACGAAAGCCCATGAGGCAGGCACTGCCATTCTTTATGAAGAGGTTGTTGCGAACAATCATCTGATGAGCTTACGACAATTTATATTAAAATGGTTTTAGAAGCAGGAGCCCAGGTAATGAGTCTTCATATTATCCATCTAAAAATTTTAAATAGGTATTATGAAAGACCTATTCAAATCTTTCAATAGCACATTATCTTTAATTTGTTTTTCAAGAGTTTTCTTAGTAGTTTGAAGTGAATTTGATCAAAATGGTTAAATAATTAAGCTGATAATTATATTTTTTTCTCCTCCCCCTCAAAAAGTTTTATTTTTCTGTAAGCCCCACAAGGGTTTAGAAATTTAGATTCAGTCAACTAGGAATATGTTGGTCATCCAGTTCTCTGTTACTAACATCGTTTGTGTACCTTTTTCATCCTACCGCTGCCTTGTATGTCTGTCTGTCTGTTTGTTTATTTATTTTGGTACAGGGTCTTGCTATGCAGTTCAGACTCATAGTGATCCTCTTGTCTCAGCCTCCCAGCTCTGGGATTACAAGCATGCACTAGCACGCCCAGTTTTGGTGACTGGCAGTCACTTAGACCACAGAGCTGTCTTCCCCAGCCCCTGCCTTGTGTTTTAGTTCCATAACCAGGAGGATGAGGAAAAGAAATATATCAGCCCTCTCTGGGCACTTAGTAGTTTTAGTAAAGGAAATAGAGATAGTTGCTCATGTGACTAAAAGGGATATTATTTATCCGGATTTTAGACAGGCAGGTTAAACATAGTTCCTTTTATGTGGATAATCCGTAGTGAAGAACATTATCTCATGAACTTTCTCCATAAGCTGCTACTTACTCACAATATGAATATATTTTTATACCTAAAACTTCTTTGTGTAAAAATCAGTTGTGTATTACTGAGGTGTTATGATACAACACAGGCCAAAGAACTAATGGTGGAAAAAAGTGGTCAAAATGGAGAAGAGACAGGATTGCAGTGTGGGAAATTATATTTAGATTCTAACTAAACAAGTATCAGCTGCATAGGAAAATCTAAAGTCTAAGAGCCTTAAGTCCAGAGGAAACTGAGAAGATGATAAGGGAATAGAAAAGAAGAAAGGAAAAGAAGTGTGTACTCCAGAAGGGAAAATGAAAGGGTCGTCGGTATCCACCTGGACTACCAGTTCTGGAAGAAAACAAGTTTCTTCACTCCCCATAAACACTCATTCCTTGGGGGTAAATCATTCCCAACTCTCGCTGGTAATAGAAGTGCATTTGGCAGCCACAGGCTTGGCCCATCCCAGCTGGACGGTGCGCACATCCATTTCATTCAAAAGACTGCTGCCACTTGAGTGACTTTTGCAGCTGTGAGTCTGTCACCTCCATGCTAAAAATTCTTCAGTCAAGAAGGAAAGCCATGTCATGTTGAGCTGTAGGGGACTCAGGTCAACAGTTTCTGACACTCCCAGTCAAGCGGAAGACCCAGTACTATTATGGATTACTGTACTCTTTTAGCATATTTTGCTGAATTAACACACCTATAATATTCAAATGATGGAACTAAACAAAAAAGGGGATATATAAATGAATGTCCATTTTGTATCTGTATATTCAAAATGGTTAGGATAGATATATAATTACATTCTCTTAATGAATAGAGGGATTTGTTGTAATAATGTTTGTAAATAAGATATGTCTGCATCTTGTACAGCAAATAACCACTAGGATGACAGTATGCAATGTGTTAATTATTGAAACTGCCCTACCAATTTGATTTGGAACTGTCTTATTGGTATTTGTCAATAAATTATGGGGAAAATAAATTAAAAATAAAAATAAATAAAAATTCTTCAGATTTTTCCCTTTATTATTAGGTTAATCCTGCTTAATTATTACTTTGCACCTACTGCCAAACTTCTCCTTGATACTCTATTGCTGTGGAAGTTTTATATTTTTATCTGTTTGATGGTATTGCTTTCTAGAGTATAAGCTCTTAGAAAAAAAGGAACTGTCTCAATTTTTACATGTAATGGGCTTAAAACATGCCTAGTGTCAGTGGAGGAGAATACCAAATGTCAGCTCCTCAAGAAAGCTACATACTGCAGTGATCAATGTCAGTCCCATTTCCATTCCTCCAGGTTTCTTAAGGGTTTTTTTATTTGTTTTTTTTTTTGGCAGAACCAGGGATTGAACTCAGGCCTCTGCACTTGCCAGGGAAGCGCTTGTTCCACTGAGCCATCTCCCCAGCCCACCTCCAGGTTTTCTGACATGTAGGGTCTTGATGTATTAAGAGTACTTTAAATGAGAAAGATCCTTTTTTTTCCCCCCTCATGCAGAAAGGCCAACCTTTTATAGTAAGCTGGGCAAAATTCTCAAGGGCCCAGACATCTGTCTTCATTGCCAGGCAACTGTAAGCCCTGCTAAAAAGCAAGTGCTTTATTACTGAAGAAAAAGAGAACAGATACTAGGCAGTTAACAGTCTCTGTCATGGTGTCTTGTGATGGTACCGTGTGGGTTAGATACAGATGTAAGAGTCTGCAGAGGGCCTAGCACACAGGGCTCAATTAGTCATAGCTGTTACTCTCTCATTCAGCTGGGGGTAATAAATGAATGACTTGCCTGAGAAACTCCCGACTCCTGTTCTTTGGGAGTTTTTCACATCTTCATTTCTCTGTCTCTCTCTTCTTTCTTAGGTCAAATTACTTGGCTTACTGTGTTTGTACATGGTTTATGTTAAATATGACGTTCTTTCTTGTTTGATAGTTCAAAGTAGTGTACTTCACTGTACCCCTGGGGCTTGACTCTGCTTAGCCTCTTCATGATTCTAGTTTTGTGAAGTTAGCTTCCTCACAGCTACCATCAATTCTGTTGGTTAAACAGAACCACGGATCTGTTTTCCTTTTGAAAATGGTGTTGTTTGGCTATGAATCACAATTTGTTTAAAGCTCTACTTTGAGGTGTAGGAGATATACGGAAAAAGACGAGGAGGGAGGGGAGGGGAGGATTCATGCAAATCGAGTGGCCAGCATGCACGTACCCCTGACAGCTGTCGTTTTCTGTACTTTTCTGTGAAGGCAATTGACCGAGGTCTGGGCTTTGAACTGGTCTATAGCCCTGCTGTCAGAGACTCTACAATGAGAAGGTACACGATTTCCAACGCCCTCAATTTGATGCAGATCTGCAAAGGAAAGGTACAGTTCGGCAATTATAGGGCATTTTTCACATCTGGCAGTTCATCATTGCTAATACTCTGAAAATCAAACTGATTCCCTTTGCTTAAAGAAAATTCTCAAGGTAAAAAAGAAAAAAAGAAAATTTTCAGGGTACAAAGATAAATTCTCCCATTTCAACAAGCTCTGCAAGTTTTAAAGAAAAAAGTGCCTTGGGGGGACTAATACAAGGGAGGGGAAAATGTGCTAAAAGTCTTGGTACTTGGACAAGGAATTTGTAGCTTATCACTCTGAAAAGAATAGTATAGATAACAGTTGTTTGCTAACAGAAAGTTGAATTAATTATTTTGACCTTTTAAACTAGCTTTAAAGTTAACTGATCTTTAATAAGACTTGTTTGGAAAGGCTATGCTGTCCCCTTTAGGATGCCTTCAGTTTGACGTAAGAGTTCTCATTTTTTAACTTTAATTATTTCCTTATCTTTAAAAGAAGTTGATATTTGAGTCTTAAATGTTAAAGTGTGATTACTATTTATAACACTGTTTTCTTTTGGCATTTGTTTAAGGTTAACATTGATCACTTTCTGTTTTATAGAATGTAATTATATCTAGTGCTGCAGAAAGGGTAAGTCCAGCATGAAGTATTTTAGTTCTGCTTTTCTAGTTATAAAAATTTGCTAAATTCCATAGGGAAAAATTAAAATCATAATTCAGTGAATTTCATGTTTTTCATTTTAACTGCATTTGTGCATAGTAATTGTTGAAGAGTAAAGTTTATGTCCATTTATTCTTTGCATTGTTTTGTTTTCTTTTTCCCTTGTAGTATTGCAAAAAGTTATAAACTTCATTTATGTTTGAAAAACCTAGGAAACCTATGAAAATTACAATTTAAATGTATGCAATTGATTTCTTTTTGGATGCACAATGTCCTATAATTTATTTCAAATAAAATCACTGAAATGCTATGAATAACTTCTCATATCTATTTTTTGTGTTTTATTTTAGCCTTTGGAAATAAGAGGACCATATGATGTGGCAAACTTGTATCCTTTTCTAAAAAGTTGCTGAAAATTTCTTTTAGAAAAGTTGGAATTTGAAGTGGTGTTAGAGTTGAAATGTGCTATTTTCTCAACCTTTTATTGTATGTTTAATAATTAATGGCTTCCAAAATAGATTATATCAAGCTATAGAGAACTTCATCCTTTTGTCTTCGGATTAAGCAATCAGTAGAAAATGGGGAGCCAGTAATTCTCTCTGATGAAAGCTCGGAATTAAGTGAGTCTCCTTCAGCTGTAGGCTGAGCCCTGGAGAACTAACTGGTCTGTCCATGTGACCAGATGAGCTGACATTTCTGCTGTCTTAGTCTCGTGCCTTTGGCTGACACTGAGTTGAAATCTTTAACGCCCCCCCCCCAAGAGGGCTGCTGTTTGGGCTGTCCGAAGGTGATGCCAAAGCCGCGGTGTCCACTAACTGCCGAGCAGTGCTTCTCCATGGAGGTGAGCAATGTCTTGCAGTAAGTACTGAATGGCTGTGTTAGAGGCCAGTCATGGTGTCCAGTGGCTAAGTGGTGTCCTCTTTCCTATCCTGTCTCGAGTAACCATACCCATAGGCACTTTCCCATCCTCACTTTGGGCTTGACTTTGGTTTGTGCAGTGAATGCAGTTTGCATTACAGAAGTGAGTATCAAATGTGCCCTTTCAAACTGCACACAAGTGCCCCACTTGGACAGGCCTCTACTCTCCCCTCCTAGTGCTCTTCTACAGAGGATTTTACTTTCTCTGATACATTAGAAACATGTTAAACCATTTATTTGGAAAACAAAAATAGCCTTGGTTTTTAAAACTCAACTAACAAAATATAGACTGTAACTTTTGCATTTATCCTGTTTTCATTTTTCTTTGGGTAAGAATATACAAACTTTTATTCATACTTTATATTATGTATCTTATCACTTTAATCCCACTACTGGCATCAGTGAACTTGTTATTCATCAGATGATCAAAATGAACTAGAAGCCAGAAATGTAACTCAGAGGCATAAGTGCCTACCTGACAAGTGCAAGGTCCTGAGTTCAATTCCTGGTACCTCCCCCCCTCCCAAAATGAATGAGAAGTTTTTGGTATGCCAAAACCTTGGAAAAGAAGATGAAGTTTTATTAGCATAAGTTACACTTTTGGCCCATCCTCTCCATTTTCTTCACAACTTTTAGGACTGGTTACCTTGGTTAGAAAGGAACTTTAGTTGATAACATCCAGATAAATTTAAATGTCAGAGCATCACATGTAGTTAGATTGTCATATAAATAAATGAATTATTGAAAGCTAGTAAGTTCTGTCTGGACTCTATGACCTGATTTCCACTTTAGAAAATTACTCATTTTTATTGGCTTGCCATACACTTGGTGCTTTTTGTTTAGTTTCAACATTTTTGAATTGTTGTATTGCATAGCTCATTCCCTAGAAATGATCAAATAAGTTGGCATTTTTTTATCAAGATTTTTTTTTTTAATTAGGGAATAGTTTCACGCTTTGGAATACTTCTGTTATTTTTTTGTCTCTTATACAAATGCAAAGAATAATCAAGCTTTTGAATAAAAAACTGGTATTCTAAAACAGACCGTAAAATGGAAACTGAAGAGATCCTTTCTTACCTTTTCACTAGCTGCACCAGCATCTTCAAGATCTGAAACTCTGTCTTCACTTTCACATAAATGGTTTTGAAAGCTTGTGATTGAGATTTTAATTTCCTCTATATCTCTTTGACTCTGCTTCATGTGATCTATTTCTTTCCTGTATTGCTCATTCAAGGAATCCGTCATTTTTCTAATCTCTTATTTTTTTATCAGTGTCTTCTTTAGAAGTAGTTATAAATTCTTTTACTTCATTGTTTTTTTTCAGATTGGGTTTCCTCTCTATGTTTCTATAGTTGCTTCTTTACTTCAGATGCTATGAGTTCTGAGAATTCTTTTTTTATTTCAGAAAAGAATTGCGCTCTGAGTTCCTCTATAACTTTCTGCTGTTGCTTATTTACTATCGACGCTATTAATTCATGCATTTGAGCCGAGCTAGTGTCCTCCGCACTTGTTCTGGGTGGGCACTGGGTTTCCTCCACATATTTCTGCATTTGATTCTTTACTGCAGATGTTATTAATTCAAGGATTTCCTTTTTTATTTCCACTCTGAGTTCCTCTATACCTTTCTGCAGCTGTTTCTTTACTTCAGAAGCCGTTGATTCATTGCTTTCAGCTGTGTGATTCCCAATTTGTTCTGTGTTAATGTCCTCTGCACTTGTTATGGGTGGGCTTGGGTTCTGAGGTTGCATTTTGTTCTTCCTCGTCATTTAGTGTGGCACTGTCTTCTGACCTTTGTTGTAGATCTTTGTTGCAGTTATAACCTTAGCACGTATTGAAGTTCAGGTGCAGATCTACAAAGTTTGGATTTATCCAGCTGTGCCTGGCTTGGGTCTGGCTGCTGTGCTCAGCTCCTTCCCACTGCTGCCCTTGGGGATGAACCTGTTGTGCCCCTCTGGCAAGATTTTCTGCTCCTGGACTAGCTGGGTGGTTCTATCTTCTATACTCTCTGTAGGGATTGCAGCTGCAGGGTTTCACCACAGGCCTGTATGCCAGGCCTGAGCTGAGCCTGGAGGGGAGAAGGTGGAGTAGGGGAGAGAGGCAGCTCTCCCACACACTCACCGAGCCTGGGCTAGGACTGGATCTGGGGTTTCCCGGAATGCGGCAGAAATTCCTACCCTCTCTGCGGGGTGTGTGGGGGTACTACGAATTGATGGGTGGTGTCTCAAGCGGGTGGAAGAGGGTCTCACCCACGCTGAGCCTGGGCTGGGACCAGTAGTAGGTCCCGCCAGCGCAGAGTAGCAGGAAGCTCTCCCACACACTCACAGGGCCTGGGCTAGGACTGGGTCTGGGGGTTCCCGGAATGTGGCAGAAATTCCTAGTCAGCGGTCCAGGTGGGGGAGGTGCTGCGGAGTGGTGGGGGGTGTCCCAAGGGGGTAGAAGAGGGTCTCACCCACGCTGCGCCTGGGCTGGGACCAGTAGTAGGTCCCGCCGGCACAGGGTAGCCGGAAGCTCTCCTGGAAACTGAAATGGAAAAGTAAATTAGCGGGAAATATGAAGATAAAATTTTGCCATTTTGACTCTCAGCTGTTCAGCATACATTTAAAGCCAGGCTTTTCCAGAATCTAAACTAAAGTCGACTTGCTTACTTTCAGCGGCATTGCCTTTCAGGCTGTGTGTACTCAGGACAGTGGTAGTTTATGTTTGATATTTCTGTGTAGTTATTAACATCTGTGTTCACTGGAAAGTAGGATAAATTGCAGTTAGGTAATAAGTTATAGTTGCCCTGGTTTTAGTTGATGCCAGGATCAGCATGAGGCAGTGTGTTGTGCCTGAAGATTGTTAATTCTACACAGGATGCGTTAGAAGGGGATTCTCAGGCAGAGATTCAAAGTTTCATTATTGTGCTGTTACACACGAAATCTCAGATGGCATCTGTATCATTCCGAGTGTCACATTCAAGGGTAGCACTGCACCAGAGCACTGTTGGTTAAGTAGCTTTCGCACTAGATGGCTAGTAGGTTTCTGAAGGGTCTAGAGACCTGGCCGTGTGAGGAGTTGTGCAGAGAAGTGCAGAACGGGTCACCTGGCAGGCAGCACACTTTGACACGTGTTGGCTGCTCTCCGCAGTAGGCCTACACTGGCAGTCACACTTAGACAGGTTCTCGACTTTCTGGGAAGTGAATGAACAGCAGTTTGAGAAGGTTGGGGAAACAGGCTCAAGGGCAGAGCCCTTGATGAAGTGGGTCCTCCGCAGCCTTCGGACCAGAGAGGGCCCGGGGCCACTGGGGACGACTGCGTCACCCCCTCGTGTTCCAAAGAGCACTCATACAAATAATCCTTTAGAGCAGATTATGTACCTTTCTTGGCAAGATGATCAAAGGAATACATACGTCAAAACAAAGTATAAACAGATGCTCCACACAAATGCTATTACAAATGCTGTAACTTCTTGCTATTACAAAAAATAAATTTATTTTTAAAAGAGAATAGAAAAACTATTTCAGCTGATAACTGTAAAAAGTCTTACTGTTCAGTTGCTTATAACTGTCCATTTAGATTAACAAAAAATATTCATGTAATGAAAATAGAACTTTTCTAGGTAGAACTTTTTTTTAATGTTATATAGGGATGGAACTCAAGGCTTTTTGACTGGACCACATCCCCTGGCCTCTTTTTTTCTTTTCTCACTATCTCACTAAATGGCTAGTTTCCTGCCCCTACCTCAGCCTGCCAGAGTGCTGTGAGAGCAGGCATGCATTGCCATGGCCAGCTCCACTAAAAGGAATTGGAATCTAATATACAAAGTGCTGTGTATTACAGTTTATATATTATTCATTGAACACATATTTTAACTGACTTCTAGATTATTACTTAGAATCAGACTAATATAAATATCTATAATGTACCTCATTTGATGAAATAAAAATCATTAATAGTTTATATTTTCAGGGTCTCTCATGTTGATATTTTAAAGCTTGAGTTCTGTTTTGTCTTCTGTAAATTTTTTTAAAAGGAACTGACAAGGATTCAATAGACTTAGTAAATTAATCCAGATACATTAGAAAGTAATGCTTACCTCTTTAGAGTTGACTCTTATGATCTAAGAAATGATTCCTAACCATATTTCTACTCATCGGTTAAAGTGTACCTCCGTTATAGTTGACAAGCCTCTCCTAGTCTTAGTTCTACTTCTTAGAAACAGAGTTTAACTCTCTCATGACACAAGCTGCTCTTCTAGCCTACTTCCCCCTAATTTTTCATGCTGCTTTGTATCTTGCCCAGGTTGTTCTAATCCTTCTGTCCTTTGCCCAGGAAACACGTTCTGCCCCTTCTTTTTTTTCCCTTTTCTCTATCCTAGGAGTGTTGCTCCTTTAGGGTACTCCATGGGTTCATTCAGGCAGTAAATTCTCCTGGGTGCCTCCATCCCTGTTGTTTGCTCTTAATGTGCTTAACATGTTGTTTCTTTGCCCTCCTATATCTCTATAAATAACAACTATTAGGTTTTTAGGTTCACTAAATTTAAGTTGACCTCTGTTGCCAACCTGATGTTGCATATAATATAATCCTCATTTCTCTTAGTCCTTTGGCAACAGTATATAAAGAATCAGTAAACGTGTGATTTTGATTTTATTCATTCATTTAGCAAGCATTTGCTGTTAACTGGTATAACCAGAGTTTGTTGAGTGTGGATGCTACAGGGGTGGTTCACATGCACGTTGGTGGTCCAGTGAGGGGGACGTGGGCACACAGCCAGCCACTCACCTCCCTCCCTGTGGGAGCAGCACAGTGGGCTCGTGGTTTTATCTCATGATTTGCCCACCTTTCTACCATATGTAAAGCTGTTACGGCACTGGTGCCCATGACTTGGTTCTGACCACATAATACAGACCATTAGATACAGCACTGCCATCTGGCTTTAACTATGAGGAATCCGTAAGAATGAATTAGATATTAATACACTGCTATTTGTGTATACCAAGGGAAAGGTAATAGCGGTAAGTTGCATCAGTAGCCATAGCAGTTCACTATAGATTCCATTTGCTAGTGTCACAAGTCTAAAGAAATAGGGTGATACTTGTCTCACCTCTGCTCTGTAAGTTGTGCCTTCAAATACTGTGGTTTCTCTATTTTACAGAAACTAGAAAAACTGCTTTTGGAATTATTTCTACAGTTAAGAAACCTCGACCATCAGAAGGGGATGATGATTCTCTTCCAGCTTGCAAAAAAG